GCGCTGCCGCGGCCAGCCTCCCTCTCTCGCCGGGCGACTCCTCCGGGGATCCCCATCCGTCCGTCCGCCCGGCCATCCACCGCGCCCCCTTCCTCTCAAGTGCCGTGTCAGGTGGCACTTCGTGCTGCTTAATTTCAGGGTCCGGGGCAGCCCCGTTCGTCTGTTGCAGAAGGCACGCCGCCGACGAGTCCTCGGTGGCCCCTGAAAGGCCGACACGTTTTGTTTGGCCGGAGTTCTCTCCTCCGGGGATCCCCATCCGTCCGTCCGCCCGGCCATCCACCGCGCCCCCTTCCTCTCAAGTGCCGTGTCAGGTGGCACTTCGTGCTGCTTAATTTCAGGGTCCGGGGCAGCCCCGTTCGTCTGTTGCAGAAGGCACGCCGCCGACGAGTCCTCGGTGGCCCCTGAAAGGCCGACACGTTTTGTTTGGCCGGAGTTCTCACGGCCGGCCGCCGGAGCGCCTGTCTTCCGAGGCACGCGCGTCCGACCTGAGGGTGCCGCCAGACTCTGGGTCAGTTTTGTAGGGCTTCAGCCGCTCCTGCCTGAATGCGGGTGGCTAGCCCAGGTCTGGTCATTCCATTTCCTCTGCTCTACTTTTTGGAGGGGGTCTCGCAAAGCCCCGACGGACATCTCTTGCTCAGCTGGGGAGGGTTTCCCCAAGGCTCCTCACCACCGCCGGGGAGGGGGCGCGCCTGGTGTGCTTGGTTGTGCAGGTGCTGAACACATTCCCTGCCAGGGAGGGAGGGCGCTGGTGGGAGCCTCCTCTTTGGGTGCCTCTGCTTGGCCGCCCTGGCATGAGAAATGCTAGCCCAAGTTGGCCTTTGGTTTGTCCTGGCTCTATTTTTACCTCCCCATGGCTTTGGGGCAGTTTGCGGCCCCGTGTGTGTGTGTGTGTGTGCCTCTGAAAGGGGTTGCAGCTTCTCCTGGAGAAGCCGGCAGGGTGTTTTTCACACTTAACCTTTTGGTACCTTGATAAAGAATGTAGAGATTAGGAGGGTGGCACGCAGTTATTTTAAAAATGCCAAGTGTCACTCCTTTGGGCAGGGTGCTATTTGAGTGGCATCTGTTATTTGCAAGGGCGAGCTCGAGGATGCTGTGGGAAGGGGCGGCATCTTGTCCATTCCAAGCAATACTTAAATGTGGGTGTTCTCAGCACACTTTTGGGGACCTTCCCTTGCAAAACAGAACTCCACTGGCACCCCCCAGGATTTAAGCCTCGCCGAGAGCCATGTTAGTAACCTCCCTCTCCAGACGCACCATCATAAAAAACTAAAAAAACAACAAAGCACCCAGCCTGCCAGACATGAAGTTCTTCAGCATCCGTTGCACAGATTCTAAGGCAAGGTCCTGCAGTGCCACCTCCTCGGTCCCTGGTGTCGGGGGGGTGTATGAGGCACATGGCGGAGACCGCAGGGAGTGTGGCATTTTCATACCTTGCGCAGTGTTGTGAGCATGTAACACAAACTGATTGGCATACAGCACACCCAGATGTTTGTGTGAAACAACTTCAAGGCGATACTTTTATTGCAAAGGAACTGCTGGATAGCTTCATGGCGGAGGTCTCCGGCTGGCTGCAGAGCCAGAGGTTGGGAGTTTGATTCCCCCGCGGAGCCTTCTCGACCAGGGGCTGGACTAGATGGTCCACAGGGTCCCTTCCAGCTCTGCAGTTCTCAGAATGTATAGATTATATGGGTTGCAATACTGGAAGGAAACTTTCCAGCCTAAACGAAGCACTCGAACATGGTTGATGTAAGCCATGTATTTCTTAAGAAAAGAAGACGAGACAGAAGGTGTGGGGGCTGTATGCATGAAAGAGAGGCTTCAGCGAGGGGGCTCACAGCGCTTGGCATTTACACTGTCCTTGTGTGTGCTTAGATCCCAGCGACCCCTCCCAGGGACTGGAGGGTCCTCTCCTCCTTCAGAATGGCTTGGTGCCTCCAGCAGCCCCCTGCGAAGCTGGCAGCCCGTGGGACCCCAGTCCCGTCATCGCCTGCCTCTCCCGGCCTCTCCCGCAGAAGAGCGAGCTCAGAGGAGACCCTGAGCGGAGTCTCCAAGGCGGTGCCGGTGCCACGGAGGGCCGTTCGGGGAGCAGCCTCGCTTGGGGCGCCCCGCTCAGGGACAGCCAGAACCACCTCCCTCTCCCTTCCGCGTTCAGCCTGCCCCAGAGGAGGACTCCCAGCCCGGGCAGCCCGGCTGAGGGAGAAGGGAGCAGAGTGTTGGGGGAGCCCAGCGCGGCCGCCACTGCCACTGCCGGCAGCGCCCCCCTGGAGTGGCTCAAGTGCTCAGACTGTCGGAAGCCTGGCAGCTCCTTCGTGGGCCTGGCGCGGCCGAGACAGGCGCGCTGCAAGCCGGTGCCAGCGGCGGTGGCCAGGAAGTATTTCAGCTGCAAGCACTGCGAGAAGGAGTACGTCAGCTTGGGGGCCCTCAAGATGCACATCCGGACCCACACGCTGCCCTGCGTGTGCAAGATCTGTGGCAAGGCTTTTTCCCGGCCGTGGCTGCTGCAGGGCCATATCCGGACACACACAGGTAAGCCCCACGCTCTTGGGAAAATGGCACTGGGCATTTGTCCTCTGTGATGCCAGGTGTCAGTGGGGAACCCTCGACCTGTCCCTGCCGCTGACTTAGAGGTAGCAGTTTCTCCCTCTGGCTCGGGAGTCCTGAAGACCCTCCCTCCCTCCCTTCCCAAGCAAAACATCTGAATTGCTCCGCTCTGTGCATATGTAAATTAGCACGTACAGGTTTATGGCAATTAAAATGTCGTACAAAAAGGCTGTAACATGATTGGGACCAACCAAAAAGTCACAGAAGGCCATGCAAACGTTGGGGGTTCTCTGGGCCCCCACGGTGGCTTTTCATGGCATGTTTTGTTGGTCTGAGTATTGCTGGACTGCAGGCTTTTGAAATGTGGCTCTTTCTCCCTTCCCTTCCCTTTCCCTTTTCCCCTTTTCCCCTTTTCCCCTTTCCCTTCCCCTCCCCTCCCT